GAGGAGGGAGGAGGGACCGGGAGTTTTGGCGGGAGCGCCGTGAGGGGAGCGGGGCGGTCCCTGCTGCCCCGGGAGCCCCTTTGCTGGGTCGTGGCGTTAGAAGCTTTCGCAGCCCCGTGTTAGCGACAGGCGTAGGGCGGTCGTTAGTAAATTCCATAGGAACGCAGCCTGGTCAAAACGGGCTGAAATGATGAGTTTGCCGTGCGAGGGGTTGCTGTGGAAACGATGTGCTTTGTGAAACGGGCAGTGATCGCAGAATCACAGAATCTCGGCGTTGGAAGGGACCTGGAAAGACCATCTAGCCCAACCCCCCTGACAGAGCAGGGTCACCCAGAGCACATCACACAGGAATGTGTCCAGGTGGGTTTGAATGTCTCCAGAGAAGGAGACTCCACAGCCTCTCTGGGCAGCCTGTCCCAGGGCTCTGTCACTCTCACAGGAAAGAAGTTCTTCCTGATATTCACATGGAACCTCCTATGCTCCAGTTTGCACCCACTGCCCCTTGTCCTGTCACTGAACATCACTGCACAAAGCCTGGCTCTGTCCTCCTGACACTGCCCTGAACAGATTTGTAACCACTGATGAGGTCACCCCTCAGTCTCCTCCAAGCCCAACAGACCCAGCTCCCTCAGCCTTTCCTCATCAGGGAGATGTTCCCCTCCCTTCATCATCTTTCTGGCTCTGCCCTGGACTCTTTCAAGCATCCTGCAGGTTGTGATGACATCAAGTCTTCTAAGAACCTGTGGTGCCTACAGACAACACTCCTGTTGATTCTGACCCACCTGGGCAACCTCCCAGTGGGAGACTGGAGACAGGACCAGGAGGAGAGACAAGACAAAGGGTTAGAATCAACAAAGACCCCCACAGGAGACCCTCGAGCATGCATAACCACAAAGATAGCCAATTCCAGGAAATAAAATGGCTAGGTAAAATAATTCTGGAAACTCATTGACATGGAACTGAATATGCGTGGGTTCGGTGTATGTTAGTTGGGGTGTTTCACTAACTGGTCGGAGCACTCGCGGTGGAGAATCCCCAGTGCTGCAATAAAGAATGTCTGCTCAATAACAGCTTGTTTGTTGCTATTGGGTCTTCAGCTTGGGTTTGAAAGCTCTGAATTTTTGGTTCATTAGAAGCATAGTGTTGGGGTGGGTTTTTTTTATACGTACCCTAGTGTTAGGAATATAATAGCTTAAGAGAGAAGTGAGGTATCTGCACATTCCAATGACACCTGGAGTGGTTCACGGTCCGAGAAACTGAGGGACTGAATTGGGCTCCATCTGGGGGATCCAAACATGGAGCAGGGTTTATGGCCAAGATCAGACCCAACAAAGCCACTTCTATCTTGCTCCTCAGCGCAGGACGACACCAATAGGTATAGGTCATTTTTGTAATTGGGAAGACAGTCAAGGGGGCAAGAAAGGTCAGGATTATACCTTAAAAGGTAAACTGCTAGAATGGAATGTGTAAACAGGGGCAGGAAACTTATGGGATAGTTACAAGCCTTGGATAAGCTGTAAACCCTGGACTACCCAGCCACTGGGGAAACAGGAGGGAACTTTGCGTCAGGAATAGGGAATATAAACCGTTATTCACCTTACTGTGGGTGTGCCTACTTGTTTAGGTCACCCATTCTTGCAAGAGTGTAAATAAACTGTGCTTTGCTGAAGGATCTGTTTGGGCTTCTTCGTTGGAGTGACAAACATTTCTCACAATTGTGCTCCCCACTTATGTTGAATGGCACAGTGTCTTTCTGAATCAAGGCACATGTTCAGTGAGGAGGGGTCTTCATTGGGGAGGGGGGTGTTACTCCTGAGTCGTGATCTCCATCTGCCCCTGCCCTCTGGAAGTTCCAGGAAGCTGCACAGCCCTTTCAGGAGGAATAAAGGTATGTTCAAACCTGGCCAGATTTAGGATGCAGGAGACAAGAGGGTGAAAGCTTTAAGTAAACTGTTTTTTCTCTCATGGAATTCTGCCAGTGATGTAACTAGGGAGATTTCTCCCAGATAAATGATTGCTACATTTATTTCTGCATTAGTATTGTGAGTACTAAGTAGATGGCAAATGCTGACACTGTATTTGTTTGTGATTCCAGTGGTACCAAAACACCTTGAAGATTTGGTCTCATGAACACAGCCAATGTCCAGTGTTATCCATTCATCTACCTTATAGCTTATGTTGGAGAGGGCTTTGGAAACATTCTTTTGCATAGTTTATCTCAGCAGCTTATTGTTGTTTCACTTCTTCCCTGCAAACAAAAAGATGATGACAATATATGGCTTGCACTAATTAAGACAGTTATGACTAAATGTGCATGGGAGTATCTAATACTTTATCATCTCTAGAAGATAATTTATATTGTGGATCTGTAAATGCTGTGATTTAAAACTTTCTCACTGCCATTAAGCTACCTGGTCTCCTGAGATCCTCCAGGATGTAATGTACTGAATAATTCCAAGTGGTAGAGCAACTCTGAAGAGAAGTTCCCTGAAAGTATATCCATAAAAAATGGAAATGGAAGAGTAGATCTGGTATTGTGCTCCTAAAAGCTTGGCTTCCATTCATTTATTTTTGCTTTTGAGAATCTTAATTCCTCCAGCTATTCTAATAGCTCAGTGGAGGAGCTCCTGCACTGAGCAGTTACTTGAGGCATCAAAGTATTTAGGTATCTCAAAGATTGCATTCATGTATTAAAATGTAATTTACCAGCTACTCATATTTACCTCATATTGTTTAATATGACACAGCCTTCTTACCCCTACCAAATAACACTTCAGAATGGAGGGGAGGGGGGTTATCCCATGCAAGGAAAGGTGCCTGCTTCATCATGAACATGTCTGGTTTCAGTTTATAAATCCTGGTTTCGTATTGCTGGACTTCAAATTCAGAGAATGCTAACACAGAGTAAACCTCTTTTGTGCCAGTCTGCATCTGGCACTAAGCACTTCTTTTATTTTGTAATGTAACCTTACATTTTTATTGCTGTCTGTGCCAACTACTCATTCCCACACACTGTGTTCAGGCTTTGCCAGACTGACTGCAGCTCCTTCCCTTGTTTGCTGACACAGGCAGATTTTGTCTCTACCTCAGCATTTATCCACTGTTCATTACACAATAATGGTGAAGTTCCCTATTTTTTGTGACTGCAGATCATAAATAATTAAGGCTCTAAATAGTCTTTTGGCTTCTTAAATGTACATGGATCAGTTTTAAACAACAACATAGAGCTCAATCTTTTTTCAATGCTCTATTTCTGTGTAATGTACTCTTCAGGGGTTGTCGGGTTTTTTTGCTTTGCCAAGAAATTTTGAGTCTTCAGATTCTCTCTGGAAAAAGCTGGAAGGACTTAATTGCAGCTAGAACTCCCTGACACTCTGTCTATAATATACTTGATCATTCTCCAATAGTATTCTCAGTAACTTTTGGGATTTCTGCAGGCACTTTCTCCATATTCTCTTCCATAGGGAGTTCTCATTAGATCAGGTTTATAATGATTTTTATTATAATAAGTAATACTATAGAATGAAGGTCTGATACAGAGAAGTACTTTTCAATTATCTAATATTATTTTCTGGTAGCCTGTGTGAGTATGTTGAAATAATGAAAGAATCCAGTAGTGTTTGTAAGAAATTCCCTGTCATAGTAATGTCGACTTCTTTCCACAAGATGTCACAAGATGATAAGGATCAAGGAAAAAACTGAGCCTACCCACACAGCAGCAGAGGCTGCCCCATCCCTGGAAGTGTTCAGGGCCAGGTTGGATGGGGCTCTGAGCAACCTGGTCCAGTGGGAAGTGTCCCTGCCCATGCAGGGAGGTTGGAACTGGATGATCTTTCAGGTCCCTTCCAACCTTAACCATTCTGAGTCTATGACATTGTACTTCACTTCTGACAGAACTCAGACAAAACAGCCTCACAGAAATTGTTAACCCCAAGGGAGGTGTGCAATCAGAGAGATGTAGATTCTCTGTCCTAGTTAACTAATTAACCTAATTAATTTGGAGACATCTTCACTTCTCCAAATACAGAAATGTTGGCACGGAAGCCAATGAACACATCACTCTCCCATCCTTGCACTCAGGTGCTGACAACTGCTCAAAGTGCTGTCTTTGATTAATAAATCAGCATCAGCTGTAGGAAAGCATTGTCCTTATGTATTGGGCTAATTCCATATAAACTGGTAATTTTAACAAATTCCCTGTATATCCACTTAATATGATTCTTTTGGGGTACAGCCCTTTCTGCCCTAAATTCTCTGTGAACTATTGTTATGCACCAAGGACAAGCTCCCATTCTTCCCTCCCATGCTAAGCAGGGATCAGGTTAGTGCCCTTAGCAGACTTCTTACCAATACAAATGATCAGGCCTGTTGTTTGTAAAGCATGTTGGAAACGTTTGATTCAAGACATTAATGAAAGGCAAAGAATTAAATCACTGTCAGGGGAGCATTACAGAATGGTTTGGCTAGGAAAGGACCTTGAAAAGCCACCAAGTCCAACCCCCTGCAGTTAGCAGGGACATGTCCAACTACATCAGGTTGCTGAAAGACCTGTCCAGCCTGGCCTTTTCCCCCATCTTCCTTTTAAGGCCTCTTTGAGTACTGAAAGGACTCCCCAGAGCCTTCTCTTCTCCAGGCTGAACACCCCAACTCTCCCAGCCTGTCTCCAGAGCAGAGCTGCTCCAGCCCTCTGATCATTTCTGTGGCCCTGCTCTGGACACTCTCCCATAGCTCCATGTCCTTCCTGTGCTCCAGAGCTGGACACGGTACAGAAGCTCCTACTCAAACAGGCAAAGACAAACTCCTGAAGCCAACTCTATCAGTAGCAAAACCCCCACTGCCTTCAGCAGGCCTAGCCTGACATAGGAGCCTGTTACAAGCTACCTAAGCAGCAAACACATAGATTGAATATTCTGTGTCTATGAGGAATGTGTTAATCACAGCCCCATAATCACTTAAAAGATTACATGTGCCTCCCACACCTCAACATTACCTCTGGCAAGTGTCAGGACTACCACACAACATTCCCTTTTGCTGTAACACGGCAGCAAGAGAGGTGTTTTAGCAGCCTGTAATTACAGTTCGAGTTAACAATTTAGCAGCTACTGGCCTATAATTGCAATATAGAATCACAGAATGGTTTGGGTTGGAAAGGAACTTAAAGATCATCCAGTTCCAACCCCCCTGCATGGGCAGGGACACCTCCCAGCAGACCAGGTTGCTCCAAGCCCCATCCAACCTGCCCTTGAACACTTCAGGGATGGGGCAGCCACAGCTTCCCTGGGCAACCTGTGCCAGGGTCTCACCACCCTCACAGTGAAGAATTTCATCCTAATGTCTCACCTAAATCTCCCCTCTCCCAGTTTAAAGCCGTCACCCCTTATCCTGTTGCTACACGCTACAAAGAGCCCCTCCCCAGCTTTCCTGGAGCCCCTCCAGGCACTGGAAGGTGCTCTAAGGTCTCCCTGGAGCCTCCTCCTCTCCAGCCTGGACACCCCAGCCCTCCCAGCCCATCCCCAGAGCTGACCCAGCCCTCCCACC